CAGTTCAAAACCGTTTCACTGAGAGAGCTGAGTGTGTCAACACGCTGTTGGCTTGATGAAACTGTTATTTTCGGAAAAGAATCAACATGGCTTAGAACTTGGACTTGCCTTGTCCAGCTTCCATCATTCTAATTGAAGATGTTGTTTTGCCATCTTGTTTAATTCCACCAAAGCTTTCAAATTGATCGAAATTTTAACTATTTTGACGACGTATAGGAAAATAAAAACATGTCCGCTTAAAAAAAAAAGCTTGAAAAAACAAGGAAGATTGTTTGAAACAGACATGGCTCTCCACAACTTCCTGTTTTGTTGCTCTAAGTCTTGCCCATTTACTACCCTTCTTTTTCTTCGTGGTTGTTGTTCTGCCATCCATGCGCTATCAAAGGTGGACGATCATGGCTCTCCACAACTTTCTGTTTTGTTGCTCTAAGTCTTGGCCACTTACTACCCTTCTTTTTCTTCGTGGTTCTTGTTCTGCCATTGATGCGCTATCAAAAGTGGACGATCATGGCTCTCCGCAACTTCCAATTTGTTTTTAAAATCTTGCCCACTTACGACTCTTCTTTTTCTTCGTGTTTCTTTTTCAGTCATCAATGCGCTATCAAAGGTGGACGGTCATGACTCTCCACAACTTCCAGTCTTTTGTTACTCGAAGTAAGTATTGTCCATTTACTACCGCCATTTCTGGTCCTCGTTTTGCTGTTCATTCACCGAAGTCCTTCAAGTGGGTTACTTGCGGTTTTCCTTTGGTTCTCTGGCCTTTCGTATGTTCCTTGATTGTTAAATTCTCTCAGTCTCTTCTACTCAAGATCTATTCTAGATATTTCAGCTCTCTGTTTCGGATTGTATGTATTGGCTTCCTTGTTGTTCGTATTTTTCCTTAAAACGTCCTTGTTTCCCACATGATCTGTTTATGGTATTCTCAGCATTCTACTGTAGAACGACATTTGCATGGCTTCAAGTTTCTCTTTCCTCCGCAATGAAGCTCTCTTGCTATTTTTTTTCTTTCTAACAGCATTTTCTATTTGTTATGCTTTGCTTAGTTTTCTGAAGGTATTTTTTACTATTTTTATGCACCTTCAAATTTCCGTGTCTCGCTTTCAAGAAGGTTACAAGCCAATCACAACAAGCATTGTAAAAAAAATAATAAATAAAAATTGCGAAAAATGTCTTCAAGGAAACTAAGCAAAGCATAAAGTAATAGAAAATGCTGTTAGATACAAAGAAAACAGCCCTGAACTCCTATGTAATATATCTTCACCTATATGGCAGTAAATGCTCGGCAACCTCGCCGAAGATGAAGAAACTTGAAGCGAGACAGATGTCTGAAAATTATTACATTTAAATTCTCACTCTCTTTTAAAAATAAATATAATAAAGCAGAAAAGAAAACGAAACTACCATTCCTAAACAAGGAAATATTTAATGTACGATTAAAGATGGCGTCGTGTGACAGACGGTAGGTTTAAATTGGGATGTTCGTACGCCTATATATGGGCCAATGGCACTTTAGCACTGGCGTCGTTATCCCTCTTTTTCTTACTGTAATGAGAGAAGTGTTGTCGTAACGTTGGAAACCCCAGGACCAAGTTTCCTTCATAGCTTTGCGTGGATGCGAACACATACTACATTTTGATCCTTGACTAGAAAGTCGTTGAAAGGATGCATGATTGCGTACCTTTAACGGATACTGCTTAAGTCTGTCACTAGATTTCAATATCTCAAACAAATCTTTTATGTAATTATCATGGGTAGGATTCAATAAACAAATAAGTTTCACTCACTAAATGATAACATTTACAGTGAAACACCAAATGTTAAAAACAGATGTAGAAATTTAGGAGGGAATTGTTTTACTGTCGGTGGGATTGTAAAATATTTGAGAATAAATATATCAGAAGAGTGACTCGTTGTGCTTTCCCGGGCAAACTTTCTTGGCGGACATGAAGTAGAAAAACTATATTGAATCTATTGCTAGGACAGTTTTTCCACTGTATCGTGCTAGACAATTTTTTTTCTCCAGAATCTATCTTACTCATCTATAAGTCTACCATTGCTGCCACATATGGTCCGGTGCTCCTGCTATTTACCTTGAGCTCCTTGATAAGATTCAAAGAAGAATCTGCAATATTCTTCTCTCCAGAATTCTAGAAATCCGTGATAAAATCCCAAGAAGAATCCGCAATTATTATCGGTCCTGATCTGGCATCTCGGCTTCAGTTACTTTCCTACCGCAGTAAAGTTGTCCCCCTCTGCCTTTTCTCTAAATACTTTCATGGAAATTGTTCGGATGAACTCTTCCACAAGGTACTTAGACTTGATGAATCCAAGCGCACTACTCAACTGGTGATGAGGTCTCACCAATTTACAGTTAACCGTAAGTTCTATGCTAACAGTTTCTTCCTTTGCACTTTTCGCTTGTGGAACTCTCTTCTGGCTCCATACTTTCCCGTCACCCTTAATCTTCAAAATTTTAAATGCAATTTCAATCGCTATTTAGTGCACTCCTGATTACTCTTCTTTTGTTTTTGCTACTTAGTAATTTTTCTAATTTCTAATTCTTCCACATCCAGCAACCCTTTGTGTCTCAGTGGCTTTACTGCCTTGCTTGGAGTGAACTCTATTAAAAAGAAAAATTAGAAATTTCTTGCTATAGAATGAATTATAATTATTTACTATATAAATGAGTTTAAAAAATTTAATGGATACATGACAAATTTAATTTCTATTAAATTATTAAATATAGAGCGTATGCAGCAAGTAGTAAAAATAATAACGGATTTTCACGTGAAATTATTACAGAATTCATTTTCTCCGATGTGCCTTGTCCCTTCAGGACGTGGGTTATCATAGTTCGCCACAGCTTCTTATCCTTTGTAGGTGTTAGTAAAGATTATATTTTTGTTATCCCCCTAAACCCTGTTCTGGAAATCTTTTACACAACCTTCTTACGTAGATTATATACTGTTTTCCTCTTTCTCTCTTGCCTTAAGTATGTCCAGTGAGTGTCAAATTCTCCAAACCTTCTTTCCTCATTATATGCCCGAAAAATATCTTTTTTTTTATTCTAAGTAGAAGTGTCCATTTTATTTCATTTTTCCTTAAAACTTCCTTATTACTCACATGTTCATGTTCATGGTATCCTCAGCATCCTTCTGTAGAACCACATTTCAATCACCCAGAGTGTTTTATTCATTCGTGAGGAGATTGTCCAGCATTAATTGCCATATAAGAGAAACGATATTACATAAAAGTCAGCATTCTCTTCTTGTTTCTTTTTTAACAAAATTTTCCTGTTTCTTAATACTTTGCTTGGAATCTTGGAAAGCATTTTCCGCGATTTCAATGCGCCTTCAGATTTCGCTGTCACATTTTTCATCCTCTGTTAAAACACTTCACAAATATAGATAGATACTGAAAGGCCGGAACGTTGTAATAAATATGGCAACAAAGATGCAGACAATAGTCCGAATAATGTAAATAGTGTACATAATACCTCATCTCAGAAATATAGACAGATACTGAAAGGCCGAAACGTTGTAATAAATATGGCGACAAAGATGAGGACAATAGTCCGAATAATGTAAATAGTGTACATAATACCTCATCTCAGAAATATAGACAGATACTTACAAGTGATATTTAGTCTTTTCTTCTCCCTTTCTTTTAACACCTTCTGTAGAAGTTCCTGTAGTTTCCTTTCTTTTCTCAACATTATGTATTCTTGATATCTTATACTGTTAAGACGATGCCTGCTAATAATGAATCTTGTAGGGTTTCTAATTCTCTCAGAATCGGCTCACTATGTAAGTTGAATAAATTCCCTGAGAAAACACACCGTTGTCTTAGGCCCCTTTCCACTTTTGTCCATTTATTGAATTCATTTTCGATTCGTAAATAGGCGCCTTGCTCCTAGTGTAAGTTCTGCATTATTCTAGTGTTTTTCTCCCAAATAAATTAAGCTTACCTGATATTTCGAACAGTTCTTTATGTTGTACCCTATTAAAACGCTTTTGCATCGTCTTTCAAACATTTGCACACATACAGCGCGTCTTATCCATCACAGTTAGGATGATATGTTTTGTGATGTGGCTCATTAGGCTGATTATCCGATGGAGCTTGCATTCATTTGAAGCGGGTTTCTTAGGCAATAGATGTGTGGCTCTACAGAAGGATGCTGAGAATACCATGGACTGAACGTGTGAGCAACGACGAGATTTTAGAGAAAATGGAAACAAACAGGACACATATATTTAGAAGCAGAAACTAACAACTGGACTTTTTAGGGTACATGTTGAGGAAAGACGGCTCGAAAATTTTAACACTCAGGGTAGGTTGAAGGCAAGATTCGTTATAAATACTTTTCATGTTATTTAAAGCCAGAAAATATTTTTAGATAGTAGGAATTTTTTTTGAGATAATACTGATTTACTGATACGACTTTTGATAATTAAACCCTCTGGGGAGAGAAGAGGTGGGTTCATGCCTTTCCCAAGGGCATTTGCGCGTAAGTGAATATAACGAACTTAACGAGATTTGAAACACAGCTGTCCGATTAACAATTGCCAGCCATTATCCATTATGTCAACTGCACAACCAAGCTTACAGCCCCTGTATTCTAAATCGGTTACTCATCTTGATACTGATCAGTCTCGCCGTTGCTTAACTCCGATGATCGGACAGGAACCGGTGTTTCAATATGATATGGCCGTAAGCCCAAGAATGTTAGAGGCAAGCAGCGCATAACATACTGAACGAGATTGTGTAAATGGTTGGCAGAACAGGGATTAGGAGAGATAGCAAAAAGATGAACATTGCTAAGAGATGCAAGGGACAGGAAGTTGTGGAGAACCACGATCACTCACGACCAAAAGTAGTATATGCAAACAGTTTATCAATTCTTCGAGTAATTGTCGAATATTTACAATCGAATAGTAAAACAGAAAATCGGGAGATGCCAGTAAAAAAAAAAACAAAAAAACAAAATATAAAAATGAAAACTAAAAAAAAAAAACTAAAAAAAATAGTGAATAATGCTTGTAAATTAAGAAAAAAAAAGTATGTGGGGTGTTGGGCGCAGTTGTAACCACGTAGGAGACAGGTTTCCTACCTTGTGTTGCATCTCGTTTACTCAGTGAGATTCTGATGTCAGGCCCGAGAAATATATTTTTCAACGTTTCGCGGGAAAAATCCGGAACACCACAGCGTTTCTTCTGCATTTGACGCAACGTAAACTCGTCAATCTTTCCTGTGGATGGAAGAAATGAAGTGTAAGCAAACAAAAAACGAACGAGTTGTCGAAAATAAAGCTATCGGCAAATTCATCACAGGAAGAAATTTTCGTTTTTAATGAAAACAACAACAGCAGCAGCAGCAGCAACAATAACAATAATAATAATAATAATAACAACAATAACAATAATAATAATAATAATAATAATAATAATAATAATAATAATAATAATAATAATAATAAATCAAAAGCAACTGCAATGAACCCAATGCAGAAGCGATGGCAAGATAAACCTCTTCATGGTTAAAATTTTCCCCTTTCCAAAGAAGCTGATGACAAACCCCGTGCCTATCATTGATAGGCGGTATCTTCCCTGCCAGATCACAACCTCTGCATGATTTCACTAAATTTTCCGATATCTTGATCCATTTTTGGCCAATAAGTATAACCCCCCCATTAAGGATTTCATTCTTGAAATTCCTGGATGTCTTATGTGAAATTCCTTTAGCATATGTTTTTGCAACGATGCTGGTATCGCAATTCTTTCTGCGTATGTAAGTACATCATTAGATAATGAAAAATGCATTATTTCCAATAATATTTTTACTTTAAATCTTAATTTCTTTTTTATTTTCAGTATAAAGTCGTCTTTTTCAGGCTTAGTTCATATTTCCTCCCATGTTATTACAGTATTGTATAATACATTATTAATTTCATTTTCGGCCCTTAATGCTCCAATTCCCGTGTCTTCAAGTGATTCGCAGAATTTTGGTATTAGTCTAGATAATCCACCTGCATAACTTAATTTTTTGGATGGTAGAAATACATTTTTATAATTATACTTGAGCAGGATAATTCTCCAGCGCTGCAGTCTATTTGCTGTATGTGTGGGAACATCCTTTTTTGATCCATATATGGACAATAATGGACGATGGTCTGTCTGTAGTATGAATTCTCTACCATGTATGAATTTATGAAACTTTTTTAATAGCAAATATGATTGCCAATGCTTACTTTTCAATTTGGCTGTAGCTTTTTTCAGCTGTAATTAATGACCTTGAACCTTATTGGTTTAGTTGTTCCGTCCTCATATTTGTGTAGTATCACCGCTCCAATAGCCGAATCACTTGTATCTGATAAAATCAGAATCTTTAATTTAGGGTCAAAATGAGCCAGTGACAAATCCAATTTTAAGACTTTATTGATCTTTTCGAAAGCACTTTGACATTTATCTGTCCAATCCCATGTTTCTTTTAGCAATTATTCAATTGTGCTTTTAATTCGTGTATGTTTGGTATATATATATATATATATATATATATATATATATATATATATATATATATAATAGCAATTAGCAGACCCTAAAAATGCCTCTAACTTTGTTACATTTGTTGGAGCTGACATGTCCTTTATTGCAATCGCTCTTGAAGAATCCGATCGTCTACCGTTTTTATCGATAATTTGTCCTAAATAGTTAAGTCTGGACATAAACAATTCGCATTTTTCTTCACTAATTTTAAAACCATATTCCTTAATTCTCTCGAATACTTTTTTTTTTTACATCTTCCGTATGTTGCTTTCGGCTCTCACTTTTAATAAGTACGTCATCCAAATATGTTTGAGGACAATCCAAAAGTTAGAGAGTTCAGTCTACCATGCTATTTAACTTAAAGAAACGATGGATTCATGACTTTTTCAAGGACATTTGTTCGAAAGTGAATGCAAGAGACGAGTTGTTCGCTGGTCGCTGAATCTACTTTCGGTGCCGATAACCTTAACGCTACTTGCATATTTTCAACGTATACAAGTTAAAATAATTCGTTAGGCCGGAAATGTTTACTAACCTTGTGACTCACGAGCCCTGACTTATGCAACTGGGATCCACTATGCCACGTGCACATGGTCGAATCGTCTCCGTTCCTTTCGTAGTTCATTTGTAAGAAGAAGAAAGTTCCATTCAGACAGCTTCTTTTCAAGAACTGCTGATTGGTCGATCAGACTCCCGAAGGGGATGTTTTCCCAATCACTACAATCTGGACCTCTTCAAGTTTAGGGTTAATCGTTATCTTCCTTTCATAACCTCATGAACTTAATGTTATAGTGGAACACACCTATTCTATAGTTAATAGACTCTCCCGCCTATAATAAGTAGGAGTCGCTCAGTGGGCCGGTCAGTTAGTCGACTGGCTGATCGGTTGAACTCTCTGCCTTCGGTCGGGGAGGAACCCGAAGGAGGCTACACCGAAGAGCGGATTCTCTTTCGGAGAGGTAAACCGATCCTGAACCCGTTTATACGGGTTCAATGGGCATATTTTGGCCGAGCCCACGGGCTCGGAGATCCCACGTTAAAAAGACCTTGTGCCACATGACACCCTCGTGGGGGGGTGACTGAATATCGTCGGTCAGTCAGTTGACTGGCTGATCGGTTGAACTCTCTGCCTTCGGGCAGGGAGGAACCCGAAAGAGGCTACGCCGAAGGGCGGATTCTCTTTCGGGGAGTTAAACCGACCCTGAACCCGTTTATACGTGTTCAATGGGCATATTTTTGGCCGAGCCCACGGGCTCGGAGATCCCACGAGCTCGGAAATCCCACGTTAAAAAGGCCTTGTGCCACATGACGCCCTCGTGGGGTGGTGGTGACTGAATATCGTCAGTAAGTCAGTCGAGACCAGACGACCGTTAGTCGGGTACTAAAGTATCAGCGACCACAACTAGATTTCTCTGCGTCATTACCTATTATATCAAGTTCCTAACGTTTTGTACGTCGAACCTATTTTAGGACCGACTTAGTACAAATACAACCTCCACTGTGAAATCACTCCATAACACTTAACTTTCTTTCACTCATACAAAACTAAACATTAATCCTCTACCTTAAAGTAGCTCTTATGTCTTCTATTGGGTGAACATTAGTATACAAAAACTACCATAAGGTGCTAATTTCTATGATTGGTCAGCTGAAAAGTTTCTTGGAGCATACTAAATGGAATGATTCTTCCAAACACCTTCTTCTCCAATGTTGTTCTCTTTTATTCCAAATTTATTTCGAGATTCTTGATAAAATCCCCCAAAAAAGAATCAGCAGCAATATTATTGGTCCTGAACTGGCATCTCGGCATCACTTTCCCACCGCCGGAATATAGCTTCCCTGTGGCTTTTCTATAAACACTTTCACAGTACTTGTTCTACTGAACTTTACTCTATGGTCACCTTGACTTTATGAATATAAGCTCAGTACTAGATTGGCAGCAAGGTCTCACCATTTCACAGTTGAAATGTCTACACATAACAGTTCTTTACTAACAGTTTCTTTTCTCACACGTCTCGCTTGTAGAACTCACTTCCAGCTTCTTGCTTTCCAGCCAACTTCAAAAATGTAAGTCAGTCGTTATCTACAGTCTTCTTAATTGCTCTCTCTTCTATTGTTCTTGCTCCTTAAGAGTTTTGCACTTTTTTCCTTATTTTTTCACGCTCGGTAATGTTTGTCGTTTTATTGTTTTACATAGGGTGATATGATTAAAAAAAATTTCATTTAACAGGGTTTCGTGACACTAGGTACATTTTTCTTTTCCTTCAGCGGCTAAAAAGTCGTGACAAAAATAAACAAGACAAGGTCACTCGTCAGAATAGAATAAGTGGAGGTAGGTTTTAAATTATCACAGAAGAGGAAATAAGAAACTAGTCATTCCTTACCTGTTGCATTTAACATTGACTTTTTCTGGAAATTCTTTACGGCATAAAAGAGTAACTTAGAAGGATTTGTTCTCATCGAATAATCCGGGTTCAAATAGCCATAACGAAGCAAATAATTCTACAAGAAAGATAAAATAAAATAAAAAAAATAATAAGAAAAACTCGGTTGGAATTTTGAAGCAATCATAAAAATTAAAATTTTTTAAAATGAAATTCGAACAAATATTTTGTTGGTTAAAAGGTTCGTTCGATTTATTAAAAAGAAAATTCATTTATGAACCAAACAAACTTTTTTCAAACCCGGAGAGCCGAGCTTCAATCCCAGTTGGGCTCGTTATTTTCATTTAAAAACGCAAATAACCTTGGGAAAGATATGATTCTACTTCTTCTCCCCTAACTATGGGTTAATTAGTAAAATCTGTATCACTAAATTATCTACAAAATACGCTTACGATCTAAAAATATTTTCTGCAAATGGCTGATAAAACGTAGAAAACTAATCAATCGAATCATTTTTTCAGTCTAATATTTTGATCGAACCTACGATCTCTGATGGCGTATAGTGTTTCCCCCTCCAAAATAACTAAAAATATGACTTACTATTATATACGTCGTTGAGGTGTCTAGACGTCTTATGTTTACCCAGACGATATAGAAAACAGTACTTGTACAGACACACACACACACACATATATATATATATATATATATATGACGAAACAGACAACTTTAAGGTTCCATTGATTATAATTTATTTACCCAGGGAATTTTTTTTCCCTGGCTCTCAGACCACACTTCCAAGGGTGAAAAAAATGAATTTAAATTTACACACACACACACACACACACACACACACACACACACATATATATATATATATATATATATATATATATATATATATATATATATATATACACACACAGTGCTGTTCGATAAAAGTGACTCACCTGATTTGTTTACTAAATGTTCTCTTCTTCGATGAAACGAAAGTTGAGCTAAATTCAAAGGATAAGCGATTTAAAATCCGAAGAAGAAACTTTGAAAGCTCTTTGAATTTAGCAGTAAGTACTGTCAGGCATCCGTTCAGTATAATGTTCTGGGGATGCTTTTCTTTTCATGGAACTGGTTTCTTAAAACCTATTGAAAAGACCCTCGGAAGCGAGCAGTACAAGAGACTTTTAGAGTCTTGTCTGCTCCCTTCTGCTGAAAGGGTGCAAATCGACCCCACCAAGCTCATTTTTATGCAGGATAATGCTCCCTGTCACAAATCAAAATTGATGAAGGAATATTTTAATGAGAAGTAGGTGAGTGTTATGACATGGCCGCCCAATCTCCTGACCTCAACCCCATAGAAAACTTATGGAGCATGTTGCTCAACTGCTTTCTTGAGACTCTGTACTTTATAATGCTTAACCTTTAAGTCCGTCACAGTTACAGCCGCCCTTTACCCGCGGCGAATCGATCGCGTTGCACCGGCGCGCCGTAACCGACTTTCCGGGCGGCCAGCAGGAGCAGGACAACGACGAAGACGCTAGCAGCGCGCGCTTTACGACACCAGGGCCCGCGCACTGGTAGCCTTAATGAAGAGCAAAAAGTTTTCCCCCAAAATGACACAAACGAGAGATAGCGAAAGTAGGTCAATCCAATATGGCATACAGCCGGTGAAGTACCAACGCCATCTTTCTCATATAGCGCCGCGTGACGGCGTATTATAATGTGGGAGATGGCGCCGTAACGACGAAACTCCGTACGTTGGGTCCGACGTAACACGAGGACCTTCTGTATTCATTTTGGTTTTTATCCTTGCAGTGTTTCGGTCGTGGTACCTTCAGGCCTTCTTCAGACGAAGATTGGACAGTAGAACTGCTTGAAATTTCCGGATGTAGATTATCTAAAATATTCCAACATAAATTTTACTTCCACCTGAATTACTGTCATCAAAATGAACATCACGTGAATAATAATAATAATAATAATAAAACCCTTTATCTATGTAATTTTTTTTTCTGTCAGTGGAAAGTGTCATGATGCCATTTCTAACCTTAGGTCCCTGGGCGGGACCCGGAAAGAAATGTGTAAACGCCAGAAATCAAAGAAAATAAATAATAATAATAATAATAATGTCAGATTTCTTTGTTCGTTCCTGCGTGCATTCGCGACATTTTAATGTTTTCATATCTCATCGTTCGAAACAAAGATAACTGTTACGTAATATCAGCCCCCCACCCCACATGCCAGTGAATGCTGGACAATCTGCTCAAAGATAAAAAGACTTTAAGCAACAGAAATGTGGTTCTACAGAAGGATGCTGGAAATTCCCTGGACCAAACATGTCAGCAATGACGAATTTTTAGAGAAAACAATATTGACAACAGTTTCATGTATTTTACTGTATTTTCAAATAACGGGCTATGTTCTAATAAAAATCATGTCGAAATTAAAAACTTGTAAATATTCTCATAGTAATGATGATAAATTATATAGCCACCATTAATGTGAATTACGAAACTCCATAGCGTGAATGTCCAAGAAGAGAAAGACAATCTCCGTTCTTGTGAGTTCAGTTTCTAGCTTCCGAATTTAACTGCATACTACAACGAAAGATGCCTTCCAAAAGCCAAGCAGAATATTAAGAAATAGAAAAAGAAACGTGTACTGAGATGTGAAGCAACAGAAATATGGTTCTACTGAAGGATGCTGAGAATGTCATGGATCGAAGATGCGAGCAACGGCGGATTTGTAGATACAATGGCAACACAAAAAAAAACACTTATACTTAACATCAGGAAGAATCAGTTCTGGGACATATAATGAGGAAAGAAGGCTTGGGAAGTTTGATACTCACAGGACAGATTGGCGGTCAGAGAGTCAGAAGATAGCAATGTTTCTAACCTACTAGAGAGTATGAGTCGATGGAGAAGCAGGGTTAAGGATAGTTGGCAAAAATATTAAACGTTACAAAGGAGAAGAAATTGTGGAGAACTATGATCACCAACGGCCTGAAGGGACACGGTAAATAAAGAAGAAGAAGAAGTAGAAGAAAAAGAAGAAGAAAAAGAAAAGAAAAGAAAAAGAAGACTATAGTTGAATGATTGTGCTAAAAATCAAGAGCTCTGTAGAACTGAACGATGCTTCAAAGATATCACTAAAATTTTACAAAAGATGGTTCTGGAAGCATTTACACCAATGTAATAGTTGAACCGCGAATAATTTTCTGATGCTCTACGCTCCTCTATTTATCCAACCCCAGGAATGATGATAATTTATGACACTGAGGGGATTGATCTGTATGTCACGGAGTGGCTACATAAGCCAATCCTTCACCGTCAGTATTTCCTCCCACTCACTTGAAAATCTATGGAGGTGGAGGCAATAGTATTCCCTGTATCATTTCCGATGATGTCCTTTTGTTCATCTCAGAATTGCAGAGAACGACTATTTTTAGCAAGTCAACAGAAATTGGCGGATATTAAGCACGAACGAAGACAGAAAAGTAACATACAACTAGTGGTAAGAACACAATCAAGCATTCAGGGTCTTTCGTAATTAAGAGGATAGAAAAAAAATTAATAGAGATCAAGGTAGACTATGCTGATATTGATAGGTTATTATTTTCTACTCTTCAACCTCTTTCTCAGAAACAGGATGCAGCAAGCCTGTTGTTGTCTACAGCTATTTCCATTGAAAATGCTCTGACGAACTACATTCCTTGGTCTCGCCTAGTCAAACCTTCACAACAATGGCACGTCATGCCACTAATATTGTAGCAAACCACCCACATTATTTTCGACTTCCATCGATGAGAAATAAGTTCTACTCGAGCAGCTTCTTCCCGTGAACCACTGCCCTGTGGAACCGACTCCCAAGAGGATGTTTCTCCGATCACTATAATCTTAACCTATTCAAGGCTAGGGTTAATCGTCATCTCCCTCACTAATACACACAAATGGCGTCCTTAACGTAAACCTCTACCTAGAGTGGCTCTCGTGCCTTGTAAAGGGTGACTCTCACTGTAAAAAAAAAAAAAAAAATTCACAGAATATTTTATCCTTGTCTTAAGAAGAATCAAAAGTTATCAACAGTTGTTATTTTTTTTTTAGAAAGTCTGTGGCGGTATTTTTAGAAAGAAAGATAAATTTATGCCGAATTATGGACTTAAAAAATTAAGCCAGTGTTTAATTAAATAAAATAAATAAATAGGGCTTGCCTTTGTATTTAAATAATTTAAAAAATATCCTAAAATGTTGACGTTTACCCGTTTGCTACCAGCTTTTTAACTACATACGTTTTAATTTTATTTTAATAAATTCGCATCGATTACTTGCCCTTGAAAGGCATCGCCAACATTTACTGATTGACCATCGATAATATTATCGATAATAATAACCATATCGATGATAGCAGCTTTTTTGCCAGTTAATCGCTTATTGTTTTATTACATCATTCGCTGGTCTCGCCAAATCAAACCTTCATGGCAAGAAGACGCCATGCCACTTACGTAGTTGTGGCAAACCACTTACATTCTCACTGTATTATAAATGTGAGAAGTTCTTCTCGAACAGCTTCTTGTCGCCAATCACTGACGTGTGGAACCGACTCCCAAGAGGATGTTTCCCATATCACTACAATCTTAACCTGTTCAAGGCTAGGGTTAACCGGTATCTTCTACTCTTATACACACAAATCGCCTATCTCAAATCAATTTTCCCCGTTGAAATTAATAGGAATATTTCCGATCCGTCCCAGGCCCTTAAAATCACACTTATTTTCCTCAAACTGACCCCTACTTTTGTATCTGTGGGTTTCTTACAAGCGAAAAACGTGTGAATAAACAAGAAATGTTGTTTACAAACAATAAAATAAAAGAGAGAAACAAATTGTAAAGAAATAAACTGTACTAAACCATGAAATTCAGACGAGTCATAGGCCAACTGGGGAGGATATATATGATAGGAATATATATATATATATATGATAGGAGGATATATATATATATATATATATATATATATATATATATATATATATATATATATATATATAGTAATTATTAAGAGGATTTGATAATTATATTTAATAAATTCATTGAGTCTGATAGAAACCTCAAGAGAATGC